AATTGGGGGGGAACCTCACACTTTTTTTTCCTCTTCTGCAGACTAAAAAAAAAAAATTTCTAATGTAATTTTGCTGCAACGAAATTTCGTCCAGACTAGCCTAACTAATTTCGGAACTAGAAATTTGGATTCGTTTGCATTCGTTATATCTGGAATTCGGATACATCCGAATGTCTGAATTTCCGAAATTTCGTCCGAATTTCGATTCGAAACTAAACGAATCGCACATGTCTATTATCTGCCAAATCCTGTTGAAAAAAATGTCTAAGGTTAAAGCTGGGTAAGCAAACCTTAACAGAATTCTATCCTATTCAGTTTCACTCCAGAGATGACTTTTTCCTGCCACTAGATGTCCACAGTCTAATGGCCGGAATCATTCAACCCACTTTCTCTGGGTCCTCCAGGTCAGCCTGGAGCTGCTTCAGCCTAAAACTTGACAGTGAAAAGAGAGTGATGAGCTCATCTCCCTGTCACTCTGCTTTCTCTTCCTATCAGCATGCTTCTTGATAGCACTTCTTTCCACACTACAGCTCTGCTGTGCAGGCACACCACACACTAGGTAAATTTTAGGTACTTACACTGCCTGCATTTAAAAAATCGGTTCCATAACATATCAGTTATTACAGAGCAGCAATAAACTGTGTCCTATATCTACCTAAAGTTTAGCTTGAACATTTATTGTAAGAATTGAAGTTTAGCTTAGGAAATACCAACCCGTATGCTTGGCGTGAGAAGCTGGTAATGCTTTTCTCACATTACTAGCAAATAAAAGTGTTTCTCCCTGACGAATCCGTATTATCACAAAGTGTAGCTTTGACTTTTCAAGTCACATGTGCTGTATGTGTTACCACTGTTGAGGAATCAAGGTCATTATATAAAATAGTTTAAATTGTTCTTACCTCGGAACAATTGCCTTCTTTTTGATTTTCTGTTTTTATTATGTTTGTTAGAACAAAGAATGAAGATCCACCCTGTGTAATGAAAAGATTGTCAAAGTGATAAAGCAATTGGAATCTCTTGGCTGCCTTCATATACTTGATTGCGATAAGAAGAAATTCCCCCCAAGTACGAGTGGACTTTTGGAATGACGACTGGAACTCATGGCTGCTGCACAACTTACTCCACTATAGCTACAAAGCGACATATAAAAAGTTATGAATATAAGGGAAACCACTAATAAGAAAACATGTAGGCCACCATTGCTGACCACCATTTGAGAATACCAGTTACCTGGCTGTCATCCAGATCTGGGCTTTTTATGTCACTGACCAGGTTTGCAGGGAGTGAAGTCAGAGCAAAGTCAGAACTGCTGATTGGATCAGCCACTCAGAGGGTATTGAAGCCAGAGGGTTGACAGCCAAGGAACTACCATTTATCATATGACTCAGCAAAGGAAACCTGTACATTTTTTCATGACAGTTTTTAAGACATACTAAGAAGATTTAGGAAAACAGCATGCCAAAATAAAGTCCAAAATGTTTACTGATGCCCCATGTGTGAAAACCAGCATTCCAGAGGCACAGAGTATCAGAGCATGTGCAGTTCAACAGATAAATGCAAACATCTGTATTGCAATTGCATCCAGTGTGAGGATATGAAATGGTTGGTCCACAGATCAAAACCATCCGCAGCGCACTTTGAGGATGGAGATTTCAGAGAAGGAGTGGGGAAGAATATTCACCATGACGCATAGTTCTGTCAAAGCCTTATTTTACCAGGACAAAAACTATTAAATATTGTCTAGATGGTATTTTTGCCCAGGAATTAAACATATAAATTCAGGTATTTCAGACAGATGCTGGAGGTGTAGTATTGAGGAGGGAACGTACTTGCATATCTGGTGGAGCTGTCCTAGATTACAGTCGTACTGGGAATCAATATTTGTAGTATATCGCTCCATAGGGACTCTAAATATGGAAAATTATCCTTCAATAGCATTGTTATCTTTAATTCCTGGCCCCATAAAAAAGATAAAGACAGATATCTTAAGATTTGTATTGGCTGCTTCTAGATTTAACATATCACGTGGCTGGAAAACAGTGAGCCCACCTTCATTGGAGAGTTGGGGGATCATAATGGAGGAAAGATATATGGAGGAATTGAGCGCAAGGGACGCAGATAGGAAAGATAAACACGATAAAATATGGGAGAACTGGGAAATATATAGTCAGTCAGAGGAATATAGGAAACTGGTAAAAAAGGACAGTGGGGAAAGGAAGTGGTACAGAGGTGAAGTACCATTAGAGATATAGAAACCATAAGTAAATTTATATAAGGGCCAACGGGTATATAGGTAAATCCCAGAGAGGTATAAATAAATAAACAATATCTCGACTTGTTTTCCATTAAGACTATATAGCATTTGACCTGTATGTTTGGTAGTATGGAGAAGAATGAGGATAGTATGTGGGAGGAAGGGGAGATCGAGGGAGGATTAAGGATATTAACTGACAGGACAGGATCGAGAGGTGAGCGAACCTGGTATGTGTTCGCTCACCTCCCAATCTACTGAGCCGACCTGTGACAGTCTCATTGTCACAGGTCGGCTAGAACTATGAGGTGAGTGGAAATCACTAATCTCATAGTTCTCCTTTAAGGGGGATATTGAAATAGGATATACATTAAGGTTCACCGAACACAGGTCAGTGGGAGGTCAGGGGAGGGATAGGGAATAAAGGGGGGAAATATAATTAAAGTAGAAGAATTGATTTACAGACATTGTAGTTTAGATCACAATATAGGAGAGAACACAAGTAGTATGAGGAATATTTATAAAGGAAGGACTGAGAGAGCAAGTTGGTCTTAGGACATGGTGGGGAAATTAACACGGAAGGGACCTATATGGATTCACTTAGTAATATATTCCTTATAAGAAGGTATGGTAGTAGAATAAATGGGAGAAGAGTGTAGAAAGATGTACATGAAGGTGGTAATATAAATAATGAATATAGTTATGACGATAATAAAGCAATGTAGCAGATATTTAAAAAAAAAAACCCATCCGCACCCCTCCTGCGACCCTCTGTACACCTCCTAAAACGTTCCGCACCCCTCCTGAGACCTTCGGCATCCCCCCTGACACCCTCGGTTTCCCCTTCTGGTACATTCTGCACCCTCCTGAAACTTTCCGTACCCCTCCTGACACCCTCTGTACCCATCCTGACACCCTGTACCCCTGCTGATACTTTCCGCACCCCTCCTGACACTTTCCGCACCCCTCCTGACACTTTCCGCACCCCTCCTGAGACCTTCTGCACCCCTCCGACACCCCATGTACCCCTCCCGACACCCAATGTACCCCTCCTGACACCCTCCGTACATGTCCTGAGACTTTCTGCACCTCTCCTGAGACCTTCCGCACACCCAACATTTTTATGCTATTTTGGATTCAGCCATTGGCGTGTTCTGGAGGCAGGGCACATGACGTCATATAACACCGCACGTGTTGGGCGCCAACATCTTGGTGTATATCTAGGTATACACCGAGATGGTGGGGCCAATATCGGCGTGTGATGTCACCTGATGCCACGCATGCATGGCGTCATGTAACGTCTTACCCCTCCTGACACCCTCTGTACCCATCCTGACACCCTGTACCCCTGCTGATACTTTCCGCACCCCTCCTGACACTTTCCGCACCCCTCCTGACACTTTCCGCACCCCTCCTGAGACCTTCTGCACCCCTCCGACACCCCATGTACCCCTCCCGACACCCAATGTACCCCTCCTGACACCCTCCGTACATGTCCTGAGACTTTCTGCACCTCTCCTGAGACCTTCCGCACACCCAACATTTTTATGCTATTTTGGATTCAGCCATTGGCGTGTTCTGGAGGCAGGGCACATGACGTCATATAACACCGCACGTGTTGGGCGCCAACATCTTGGTGTATATCTAGGTATACACCGAGATGGTGGGGCCAATATCGGCGTGTGATGTCACCTGATGCCACGCATGCATGGCGTCATGTAACGTCATGCTCCCTGCCTCCAAGATGGTGGCACGCATTCACAGAACACGCCGGTGGCCAACATGGCCGCCGCACATTCTCAAACAAATTATTATGTGCCCGAATACATTTTTTGTATATTCGGACAAATAGTAATTCATAAATTTTACATGTAGTCTAAGTTTTGTGTTCTGTTTTTTATTTTTACTTTTCTAGATATACTGACTTGAAAAAAGGGTCGGCATGACAACCTGACACTTTATTTGTATAGACTCTATTGTAGTTTGACATTTATTGTTTGCCTTCTGTTGTTTTATTTGATAAGAATACTTATATTGAATAAAAGTTTTATTTTTATCATACTTTTTAATATGTTACTTTGTGGCTTAACAAAATAGGAGTCTTTAAATGGTGCGGATATTGGGGAAAATGGGTGAGGTTACGGGGGGGTGTGGCCACTAAAGGGTGTGGCCACTGAGGGGCGCTGTAAAGTTTTCTCGCACAGGGCGCCTAAAGGCCTAAGGCCGGCCCTGGGGCCCGAGACCAGGCCTACCGATAGGGGTGTACAGGCAGCTGCCCTGTTGCAGGCGGCCCCCATCAAGTGTAATGCCGTGGATAAGCCGCGATCGTTACATCAAGTGAGCGTGTGAGCGGGGACCGAACCCAGCACGGGCTAGGGGAGTCTGCCTCCACACATCCTGTCAGCGCCGATACTAGGGGGGCATATAATATTATTCAGCCATGGTGGACGATACCCCTCTCCCTCAGCAGGCACTGCCAGGGCACCTGAGGGAGCTGGGGAAGGGGGGCCTAGAAGGTTGAGATTCAGCCGGGAGTGAGACGATACGACCGGAGGACGGAGGAGGCAAGCTGTCAGCAGGTATGAGGAGCTCTCCTGCACTCACAGCTTCTCCTATACACTATACATTCCGGCCGGGAGCAGCGTGGGGAGGGGGAGGGGGGATTATTCTCCCGGTCTCAGCCTTCTCCTCTCTTCCTCCCCTGGCTTCTTGAACTATGAGCGTGCTGTGTGTGCGTGTCCTGTATTGTGTGTACTGTATTGCGTGTGTATTGTGTGTACTGTATTGCGTGTGTATTCTGTGTGTACTGTATGTGTATTGTGTGTATTGTATGTGTATTGTGTGTGTGTATTATGTGTTGTGTGTGTATGCGTATTAAGTGTTGTGTGTGTGTGTGTATTAGGCCTCATTCACACTGGGAGCACACGTCCATGCAGCGTGCACACCTGTAAACAGTTGATCCCGGGAGGGAGAGGTGCTGCGTGTGATTGCGCGCAACAGCCTGTTCTCCTCTATGGGAAGACGCGGCTGTACGGTGTCATCCGTGTCTGATGGACCCTCTCTGCGTCCAAGTGCGGAGCCCCAGTACCCGCATAGGTGTGAAGTCCGGGTGTCCCTATGACACCGTACAGCTGTGTCCTCCCATGGGGAAGAACAGGCTGCTGCATGCAACCACATGCAGCACCTGTCCCTCCCAGGATCGGCTGTTTACAGGCATGCACGCCGCATGGACATGCATGCCCAGTGTGAGTGAGGACATGTATGCCCTTGTGTGTTTTGTGTGTGAGGTCTGCCGTGCGTTGGCTCTGTTCTGAGGTCTGCCATGCGTTGGCTCCGTTCTAAGTAAGAAGAAGTGGGGTTTTGAAAGCACCAGAAAATGACAACT